GTGCCTATGACACGAAATTTCACCCCGGCCAAAGGTTTATGGTTGCATTGTAAAGATCACTTAAAATGACTTAATAGTTTCTTTTATAGAATTTTGGTAACTTGCTCCCTTTTCAAGATATTCAACTTTGTTTCATATGCAAATATCACCGGTGTGACATCACATCACATCACATCACATCACATAATGAGTTTTCAGAAAAGTATAGTTTTCTTGACGAATACGTATCTAAAAAACTTAAAAATTGCCCTTGTATATGTATTAATTTCATAACTGGTAATTAACCCTCTGTATTTGTTTGTAAAAATATTTTATCAAGGTAAAATATTGCGTTTTCAAAATGTCATTATGCGATGTGATGTCACACCGGTGATATTTGCATATGAAACAAAGTTGAATATTTTGCAAAGGAAGCAAGTTACGAAAATCTATAAAAGAAATTGATAAGTCATTTTAAGTGATCTTTACAATGCAATCATAAACATTTGGGGTGAAATTTCGTGTCATAGGCATTTAAGCTATATATATATATATATATATATATATATATATATATATATATATATATATATATATATATATATATATATATATATATATATATATATATATATATATATATTTACACTCCTGACACTGTAACAGCATTATAATTATTCACGGCAGCGAGTGAGTAGAACCACTGTCAATGTTTTTATGGTTTATTTTTCTAATGTAAGTACTTATACGAAAATCCATTACTCATTACTCAGAATATACAAACACCCATTGGAACCCAACTATAAATATTATACCAATTCTTAATTTGCAATTAAGTAGTATTATAAGACAACATTTTATGTATCAATTATATAGTTTCGAGAACATTGATTTGATGATTTAATGAGATTCGGCTAATATAGCGCCAGGGAGTTCGCCACAGGTTTCCCCAATTACAGCGACCCCATAATTAACTTTACGTTTACAATAATTTTAACAGTCGAAACGAACTAATTTAAGACAAAGTACAATCGGTGCAAGAGACAACTAACAACAACTTAAAACACCTAGCCCTTTTACATTTAACGCACACAGATTTCCAAGCTTGTGGATCGTGATACTTATAAATATTAGATAGCGCATATTTGTAGTACGTCTTTAGTCCAGATTTGAAAGCTTGCAGGCCAATATCTCTATTACGGAGGCCACTATTTAAAACGTTCCACGTTTTACACGCTCTAATAAGATATGAAGACTGGCATGTTACAGTTTTAGCAAACGGTATTACAAATCTGATCACGTTTTCGTTGGTTTCACGTCTGGTTTTTCTTGATTCAGCTATTATTGGTAGAGCACTCTCATCAATATACGTATAGTTGTTAATTAACTTGTAGAGTATAACCATGTCCAAATATTCATGCCAATAAGTTATTGGTAGTAACTCCAGTTGATGTAATCTATCATATATCATGTCGAAGCACGCTTTGAGAAGAAGCGCTCAAAAAGAATCAAAATTTACCGTAAATACTCCAATTGATAAAAAGAACATGAATGCCTCTAAAGTTAATGAAACACCAAGCAGATTGCCAAGAAAAAACGGATAAAAACGACCAGAAATGGACAGAATTGACGAAATTGTTCGATATGATCAAAGCCGTCATGGCGAAATTAGACACGTTGGATGAAATTAAGCAGCAACGCATCGTTTACGTTGAACGAGAGTTATTAGAGATGAAAAGTTATTAGAGATGATTCAATTGAATTCGCTCACACCGAAGTAAAAGAGTTAAAGGAAGAGGTGGTAGAATCAAAGAGATCTGATCAAGAAAACAAAGAAAAAATCCGCGCGTTAGAGGAAGCAAGTCAACATCTGCTAGACAGCGTGATTGATCTCAAGGCTCGATCCATGCGGGACAACCTACTCTTTTACAATGTTCAAGAAGATGAAAAAGAAAACACGAGCGACAAGATTTATAAAATACTTGAAGAAAATTTGCAAATCCCTGATGCCAGAGAGAAGATTAAAATAGATCGATCTCACCGAGTCGGAAGGAAGCGTGATAGCAACCGGAAACGGAGAGCAATCGTTGTGAAATTTAACTATTTTCAAGATCACGAACATATTTGAATGAATGCCAGGAAACTCAGAGGCAAACGCATTAGAATCGCGGAACAATTTCCCGAAAAAATCGAAAAGATTAGACAAACATTATATCCCAAAATGAAGAAGGCGAAAGCGCAAGGTCACAGAGTGCGTATGGTTCGAGGCAGGTTGTATATAAACAATGTCGAGTTCAAACATTACTAATTTGTATAGAGTTATTTTTCACTTTTAATCATATATACATAACCAGATATGGCCAGTCTAAGTTTAGATAAGGAATTATGTTCTACCTGTTCTCTTAAAATCAATAAAAATAAAAAAAGCGTTAAGTGTCTCACATGCGGGGGACAGTTTGATACTCGCGCCTCATGCATAAAATTTCCAGTCACATGTCATCAAACGGAAATTGATATGTGCAACATGTGCTTAAGTTGTTCGCTTCCTTTTTATTCAATTGATGACTTAGAATTCCATTTTATTTTTGGCAATTCTAATCGACTTCCATGCGATGAGGTTATGGATAGACTAACACAACTCAAGTTTAATCCTCTAGACTTTGATAACAATATTACTAACGCTCGACATTTTGAAAATTATATGCAGGAAAATCTTGATTGTTTATCATGCAACTATTACCTACCAAATGACTTTCCTGCAATTAATTCTGATAGCAAAAAACTATCAATACTAAACCTGAATATAAGAAGTATAGCAAATAAGTTTGACTCGCTTAGAAATCCACTAAATACTTTAAAACAACCCTTT